AAAAAAAAAAAAAAAAAAAAAAAAAATACCCCAAAGACCCCTTAAAGGTCACTCAACCCTCTATAAATCCTACCCCCCCAAAGACCTCAAACCAAACAATAGCACCCAGGAAAACAAGCCATAGTAGGCAACCCTTTTCACGAGAGGACGTGGTAACAAAGCTCCTCCAACATGGATTTACAACTCCTTGGCCACCAGACAAAAAAAAAACCTAAAGAAACCACTCCAAATCGATCTAGCATACTGACATAACCATAGGAGATGATCCAAGTCCTCGACTGCTTCCTTGCAAAGGATACAACACTGAGGCCCAATCAAGTTGGGCAAAAATCTCTAAGCACGATCCAGAGTATAACCCTGCCTTGAAAGATTTCACAAACAAAAAAATAAACCTTCTTCGAAATTTTGATTTTCCAAAATAGAGGAAAAATGGGAGAGCTCAATCAAGGCTCCAAAAGCGAACATCTCTTCTTCTAAATGGCAAAAAACCTAAGCAAGGCCAAAAGGGCCACTGCATCAATCGACTCTCTATTAGAAAAGGGCCAACTAAGGCCAAGGGAAATAGACGAAGAACTCCCAAAAGACGATAGGATAGAGCACATAACAAAACTTCAAAGAGGAAAGATGGTAAGTCAAGGAAAACAACGAGCAAAGGGAACTACCCCCTAGCCAATTGTCTTCTGAAATAAGTGTTCAGCCTATCACAACGTAACAATGAACAAACTAGGAAACGAAGGAAACCTGTCAGAGATAGTTTTCCATGGATTTTTGGCAGTACCTCTTGAAATCTCCTTCGAAGACCAATCAAAAGGATCTTACCCACAATAACCTTATGCCACATCTTGAGAGAAATGGCTTAACCATTTACCCACAAGACCTAATTGTGCACACTAAGATTCCCTATACCCAAACCCTCAAACTCTACCGGTCTCGCTACCATCTCCCAAATAACCAAATGTGAACCCTTCCCTTCCTCCACCCCTTCTCACAAAAAAATCACGCATGCGTTGCCTCCAAGGAATTGCAAACGTTCACAGGGACTAACAAGGAAAGAAAATAGACTGGGAAACCACTGAGGACCAAATGACAAGGGTTCGTCTTCCTCCCTTAGAGAGAAAACTTATTTTCCACGAAGATAATCATTTCTAAACCTTTTCAACACAAGATCCTAGAAATAAATGCTTCTAAAATTATGACCAAGGGGGAAACCTAAGTACGAGAAAGGGAATGACCC